CGGTAGTGTGCCTTTTTATTGTTCCAGTCACGGTATTGTGCCTTTTTATTGTTCCAGTCACGGTAGTGTGCCTTTTCATTGTTCCAGTCACGGTATTGTGCCTTTTTATTGTTCCAGTCACGGTAGTGTGCCTTTTCATTGTTCAGTCACGGTATTGTGCCTTTTTATTGTTCCAGTCACGGTATTGTGCCTTTTTATTGTTCCAGTCACGGTATTGTGCCTTTTTATTGTTCCAGTCACGGTATTGTGCCTTTTTATTGTTCCAGTCACGGTATTGTGCCTTTTTATTGTTCCAGTCAGGGTTTATTGTGCCTTTTCATTGTTCCAGTCACGGTATTGTGCCTTTTTATTGTTCCAGTCACGGTATTGTGCCTTTTTATTGTTCCAGTCACGGTAGTGTGCCTTTTTACTGTCCAGTCACGGTAGTGTGCCTTTTTATTGTTCCAGTCACGGTATTGTGCCTTTTTATTGTTCCAGTCACGGTATTGTGCCTTTTTATTGTTCCAGTCACGGTAGTGTGCCTTTTTATTGTTCCAGTCACGGTATTGTGCCTTTTTAGTGTTCCAGTCACGGTATTGTGCCTTTTCATTGTTCCAGTCACGGTATTGTGCCTTTTTATTGTTCCATTCACGGTAGTGTGCCTTTTTATTGTTCCAGTCACGGTAGTGTGCCTTTTTATTGTTCCAGTCACGGTATTGTGCCTTTTTATTGTTCCAGTCACGGTAGTGCGCCTTTTTATTGTTCCAGTCACGGTATTGTGCCTTTTTATTGTTCCAGTCACGGTATTGTGCCTTTTTATTGTTCCAGTCACGGTATTGTGCCTTTTTACTGTCCAGTCACGGTAGTGTGCCTTTTTATTGTTCCAGTCACGGTATTGTGCATTTTTATTGTTCCAGTCACGGTATTTTGCCTTTTTATTGTTCCAGTCACGGTACTGTGCTTTTTTATTGTTCCAGTCACGGTATTGTGCCTTTTTATTGTTCCAGTCACGGTATTGTGCCTTTTTATTGTTCCAGTCACGGTATTGTGCCTTTTTATTGTTCCAGTCACGGTATTGTGCCTTTTTATTGTTCCAGTCACGGTATTGTGCCTTTTTATTGTTCCAGTCACGGTATTGTGCCTTTTTACTGTCCAGTCACGGTAGTGTGCCTTTTTATTGTTCCAGTCACGGTATTGTGCCTTTTTATTGTTCCAGTCACGGTAGTGTGCCTTTTTATTGTTCCAGTCACGGTATTGTGCCTTTTTATTGTTCCAGTCACGGTATTGTGCCTTTTTATTGTTCCAGTCACGGTATTGTGCCTTTTTATTGTTCCAGTCACGGTAGTGTACCTTTTTATTGTTCCAGTCACGGTAGTGTGCCTTTTTATTGTTCCAGTCACGGTAGTGTATCTTTTTATTGTTCCAGTCACGGTAGTGTGCCTTTTTATTGTTCCAGTCACGGTAGTGTGCCTTTTTATTGTTCCAGTCACGGTAGTGTGCCTTTTTATTGTTCCAGTCACGGTAGTGTACCTTTTTATTGTTCCAGTCACGGTAGTGTGCCTTTTTATTGTTCCAGTCACGGTATTGTGCCTTTTTATTGTTCCAGTCACGGTATTGTGCCTTTTATTGTTCCAGTCACGGTATTGTGCCTTTTTACTGTCCAGTCACGGTAGTGTGCCTTTTTATTGTTCCAGTCACGGTAGTGTGCCTTTTTATTGTTCCAGTCACGGTATTGTGCCTTTTTATTGTTCCAGTCACGGTATTGTGCCTTTTTATTGTTCCAGTCACGGTATTGTGCCTTTTATTGTTCCAGTCACGGTAGTGTGCCTTTTTATTGTTCCAGTCACGGTATTGTGCCTTTTTATTGTTCCAGTCACGGTAGTGTGCCTTTTTATTGTTCCAGTCACGGTATTGTGCCTTTTTATTGTTCCAGTCACGGTATTGTGCCTTTTTATTGTTCCAGTCACGGTAGTGTACCTTTTTATTGTTCCAGTCACGGTAGTGTGCCTTTTTATTGTTCCAGTCACGGTAGTGTATCTTTTTATTGTTCCAGTCACGGTAGTGTGCCTTTTTATTGTTCCAGTCACGGTAGTGTGCCTTTTTATTGTTCCAGTCACGGTAGTGTGCCTTTTTATTGTTCCAGTCACGGTAGTGTGCCTTTTTATTGTTCCAGTCACGGTAGTGTGCCTTTTTATTGTTCCAGTCACGGTATTGTGCCTTTTTATTGTTCCAGTCACGGTATTGTGCCTTTTTATTGTTCCAGTCACGGTATTGTGCCTTTTTACTGTCCAGTCACGGTAGTGTGCCTTTTTATTGTTCCAGTCACGGTAGTGTGCCTTTTTATTGTTCCAGTCACGGTATTGTGCCTTTTTATTGTTCCAGTCACGGTAGTGTGCCTTTTTATTGTTCCAGTCACGGTAGTGTGCCTTTTTATTGTTCCAGTCACGGTAGTGTGCCTTTTTATTGTTCCAGTCACGGTAGTGTGCCTTTTCTTTATTTTATTCACAGTCTGTGTGTTGTCCTACCGAGGTTGAGTCCATACTGTTTATTCCTATAAAAAAATGCAATGGATGCTAAATTAGGAGTTAGGAACTAACTTACCCGTTATTCTCCTATTATTCTCCCCATTAGTCGGCCGACTACTGAAATGTGAAGTCGGATTTCGCATTTGCTGGAATTATTTTTTCAAAATTGCCCCGGCTTAAGTGGCAATAAAAACACAGAGTTATGGGTTTCTCTTTCATTTTGACTTCCACTAATATTTAATAGTCATGGATTCAGGGTGTCAGGCAGGTTTGGTGGATTTTCTTTGACTTCCTCTTGGTTGATTGGGTTGATCAGTTGTTAAGTAGACGAGGGTCGGTCAGTAAGGCTTAGTATCACCTACACCACAAGTCAGTGGAAATTAAATAATGACCCCTAGAGGATGTGTGGAAATAAACCATTAGTGTATATGCAACGGGATATATATATATATATATATATATATATATATATATATATATATATATATATATATATATTTATATATATATATATATATATATATATTTTATATATATATATATATATATGCAAAGCAACCACTGTGAAAGAGTAGTGAAATTCCAAGCGCTTTCGTGACTACTCACTTTGTCAAGGAACTATGAAAGTAATACATCAAAGGAAGGCAATTAAAGGGTTTAGACTACACCTCACAGTCAACCCCCACAACAAAAAGAAACACTGACGCGCGACAATACCGGATCATATTAAAATAGGAACACTGCAGTAGGTCCGCTGGTCCAACTAGACAGGTCCTCACGACATCCCAATAACAAAATTTTCTACCCAAGAAAATAAGGTTTATTATTTGTTCAATGTATTATTAAACTCTGACCAAATTTTATTAATTATAAATGAGTATATATATATATATATATATTATATATATATATTAATATATATATATATATATATATATTATATATTAATATATATATATTTATATTTTATATATATATATGGTATATATATATATATATGTATATATATAATTATATATATATATATATTCTCCATGAGGAAGTGGAACAGAATTCTTCCTCTGTAAGCCATGCGTGTCGTAAGAGGCGCCCTAAAATGCCGGGAGCAAGGGGCTAAATAACCCCTTCTCCCGTATATATTACTAAATTTAAAAGGAGAAACTTCAGTTTTTTCTTTTGGGGCCACCCCACCTCAGTGGGATACGGCTGGTACGTTGAAAGAAAGATATATATATATATATACATTAATGTATATATATATTATTATATATATATTATATTATATATATATTTATATATATAATATATATGTATATTATATAATATATATTATATATATATATATATATATATTATATATATTATATATATTATATATATATATATTATATATATATATATATATATATATATATATATATATATTATATATAACCTTCAGTATACATGCAACGAGAGGTATATATCTCTCAGCATATATGCAACGAGAGGCATTTATATCTCTGTATATATGCAACGAGAGGCATATATATCACTCATTATATATGCAACAAGAGGCATATGTCTCTCATTATATATGCGACAAGAGGAATATATATCTGCCTGTATAAATTCAACGAGAGGCATATGTATCCCTCAGTGTGCGTATATACCCTCGCCACCTTTGAAGAATATCTGTATGATTCTGAGAGACGGATTCGCCAGTTCCGGATGTTTCGCTCTGGACGAAGCTGAAAAACACGACACAGATTGCTGAACAAGCGCTTATTTGGACGTTTCGCCCCTTTGTAGAGCTTTATCAAGCCTTGAGCTATGGTGAAGCTCTACACAGAGTGAAACGTTGTTCTAATGAAAATTTGACCTGCTATGTGTGTCTTCTCCTCGTAATGTTATTCATGACGCCTTAGGTAAATGGCGATGCAGATATCTAAATCACGTAAAAATATCTAAATCTATTTCAATATTTAGGTGGTTTAGCGCTTAGTTTTGATAGTAATAATAATAATAATAATAATAATAATAATAATAATAATAATAATAATAATAATAATAATAATAATAATAATAACAATAAATAATTCAATTTTTAGGTGGTTTAGCGTTTAGTTTTTATAATAATAATAATAATAATAATAATAATAATAATAATAATAATAATAATAATAAATAATAATAATAATAATAATAATAATAATTCAATATTTAGGTTTATTTACTGTTTTCTTTGTAATATTAAAACAAGAGCAATGCTTTTGTTTCTCGACTAAACTATAAGGTTGTTTCCCGGTGTCTTTCCTGTGTTATAATGACCTTTAGTGTAAAGAATGACTTTATTTGTTCCTCTGTGAAGCAAATTGTAATTTGTTCTGTTACGCTGTTTATTTTTTTCTGACGTTTTATTCATATTGGGTGGATGTAAATCAAGCAGACTGTGTTTGCTTGCAATCGTGTTGTTTGTGTTTGTTGGTGATGTTGTTTCTCGCTGTTTGTTTGCAG